TGTAAATTTTTGGCACGCCACATTAATTCAGCTGTATGATGCTTAGCTGATTTTCTCAGCCTTTTGATTGCCTCTGTCATCAAAGAAATTTAAACCTCTGTAAACGACGAATGCACGCAAAATATTGAGTCGTACGAAAACACAAATTAAACAAAATTAAGAGTTAACACAAAATAAATCACTCTGAAATGATTCCCACATTCACAGGCATACAAATGATGGATGCTCTGCTCGTGAACCGATATACTTTGGCTAATCGCACAGACTAGCTAACTATGGGATAGGGGGAAGAACATTGCCGATACCCAAACATATGTACCTTAAATAAACAGAACGTCCGACACTTCGACACTAGAGAAACATCGCACTCAACTTGGAGTCGGAAAGAAAAGATTTCCAATAGTTTCTGTTGGATGTTTATATTCGACAATTGGAGGTACGCATATAGCACTAGCTATATCTAAGTTATAGAAACGTGTTAACGTATTTACCAAATTATGGTCTCTTAGATGCAACCAGTTAAAAAGAAGAAACGTCGTTAAATCCAGTGGTGAACAAAATCCGCATAAGCTAAACGGTATTTCGAGTCTCTCTTCTGTTGGTCATATTTTGGTACACTGGTGTAGAAATACCACAATAGGTGAGACGTACGACTATGCTGTTTGGTACTAATGCCTTATCCTGGTGCGATTCGCCTTGACCGGCATGATAATCAAAAGAGGATATAACCCATGTTGTTGTTGCACCAAGCAGTTACCAAGGATTATCTGCAAAAGAACCGTGGATTTTTTATTATTTAATGAGTCATAACAACCTACTTTTGAATTTTTATGGTCCTAGGTGGACAGGTGGAGCCTCTGTGGGGGAAGGTTTGAAAGAATGCAAAATACAAGATACTAAAACATCCGGTTTACCTTAATAGAGTAGATGGAAATATTATGGTTGACATTTACACGACACTGATGAATGAGAAACACTGAATTTCTCTCCTACAAGTCGATTAGAGAAGAAACTAACTGGAGAAGAAGAAAATTCTGCTTTCAGAATATTTTTCGACTTGCAAGAGAGCAAAACTAGAGCAAGTTCATAAACAACTTCAGATGATTTCTCAGTATGCTACATGGATTGGCATGCCTAAATGGGGAGATTGGAAAGAAAGCGAAATACGGAGTATTTAAAGATCCAGAGAGCCTCAATAGATAGGATTAAAACATTAAAACTCACAATTGCACAACATCAATGAATACGTGAAGCTTACTGAAGTAATTCAGTTCAAAAAGAAACCAGCCAGAGGAGAAGAAGAATGCTGTACTCCGGCAATTATTGAGCTTGCTGTTGAACGA